GAATCAATTCAGTCGTTCAAATCCCGTTTAAAAACACTGGTTTAACTTAGCTTTTGAAAACAATGTGTGACTTTCATTGGGCCTGCACTACACCGTGTAAATGTAAGCATCATTGATTTGTTCTGCCCGCATTGCATCGTGAAGCACTCTGATGTACACTAATAAACTCTGACTTGACCTCAGACTGAGGAACAGAAAGCATCAGCAGGTCAGAGACTCGGGGTCAGAAACCAGGTCACTGCGTATGGTCTAACAGGAAGTTACATCGCCACACGGCTTTCTGCGGTTTCCCTGCGGTCATGTGACCTTGGTGACTGATGTCAACATCCCCAGGGAGTCATGGTTTCCGCTGTGTGACCTAATGAGCTCCACGAGAAAATGTGAGGAAGTCGACCACATCAGGCCTGATTGATGAGGACGCTTCAACGCGGGCGCCTCGGCTCGCCGTTCCTCGGACTGCGACTCAAAAACTCCAGAGGAGACGCTGCTGTGGACCAAAGTTTACTCCAGTTCATCAGAAGAGGATGTTTTTGTATCTTACCTGTTTAAGGTTTGTAGCATTAGGGGCGTGGCCTCTTTGACGTACAGGTGGCACAGAAACTGATGTCTCACTGAGATTTTTCTTTTTCACTCACATGAGCTCGGGCGCTCGCTCTGAAGTATTTAGTGTGAGCTCGACTGTGGGCTGAGAGCGGATCAGCTGCTGTCTGAAACAGATGAATGCGTACACGTATGTAGTAGCGTGCACACATCTCATTCTCACGTTCCTGCTCTTTGGTTGGTTCTTGCATTTTGCAGCTCTGTTGCTTGTGAAGCTGGCACACAAGCATTTCACTCACATGTGCTGTGACAACTCTTTGATTTGATTACAGAGAAAAGCAGCAGAAACATCTGAGCTGAACGGGCACTGATTTGATCTTTGAGTGGCCCGTGACCTCTGACCTCCTGACTGTTAGGTCTTTCTCAGTCCAGCTCTGGAGCTGTGAACTTAGTTCTGTCTACAAATGCACCAAAACCTCCAAATGATTAACTTCTAATATATTGTGTCTTTCAAGGCCTTGATGTAATCGGGACCAGTCATGTTCTACCTTTACGATGACCAGTCACGATCAGTGGTGACAGAATCGACCAATAGGAATCCACCCTGAAAAATCCAGCCAGCAGGCTGAAAAACCTCGTGTTGAGCTACAGAAGCAGAATCTGCTGCGTCGCATTATGTGTGTGTTTGTAGGTCCGACTTTATCCTGTTTATTTCTGTCTTTCCAGTTTGATACCAAGCCCGTCCTGTGGAGGGTAAGTTTCCATCTTTTGTACTTCCTGCGTGCGTAACAGCGGGGGGCGTGTCCTGCTGCATGTGCTGATAGATATTTGTGGTTGTTCCTCAGATAGAGTCTGAAGCGGATCGTCAGCCAGCCCGGTGAGTCGACTTCTGCTGTTATTAATAGAAACATATGACTGTTGCTCAAAGTCTGTCACAGATTTAAAAATCATCTTACACGTGATAAATAAACGAAAACCTGAGAAATTATATCTGTAAATGGGTTTAATAATTTCAACATAAAAGAGCCTTTATTCATGCTTTTACTTTGATGAGATTTGTAGTTCGACCTGAATGATACATGATCACAGTTTTGTAATTATATTATTATTCAGTGATTTAAACACTCGAGGACTGAAGAATGAGTGATTATTAATCTGTATGATGGAATCAGTGTTTTTATGTGACACATGTTTGTATTATTAATAATGATTATTCAATACATTCAGACTCAGACTATGACTGTACTGACAGAAATATGAATGTGATTCTTTCAATGACATTTCAAGGATGATTTTGTAAGTTTATAAATAAGTTTTAAAGAACCAGATTAAACGAGTCACGTCACAGCATCATTAGAGGAATCCACCCATATGGAAAAGAAATAGTAAAAACATATGATTTACTCATGAAAGTGGCCACTTTTTTAGTAAGTATCCAAAACATACAAGTTTCATTATATAATTTTTCAAGGGCTCTTATATCTGTTTTCACTCTTGTTTGCTTTTCATACAAGTTTCACACAAGACAGATACAAACTTTATAAGATTTATATCTTTTCCATGTGGGCAATAACAGGAATCTGAGACGAGGACTCATTTTACAGGAACC